GAAATGGGAGTCAATGACACAGTCACAGCTCAATACAGCCTCTCCTTTCTCGAAGGCATCCCCTTGCCTTGGTTGCTCCGACTTGGCAGGTGGGAGACTTCTTTTCCTTTTGTAACATATTCAAAAAAGAAAAATTACAAATACAAAACTAAAGAGGAAGCAAGGAGAAACTGCTGGCTGGAGCGAGGAGCATCTGAGCTTGGGGTGGGGAAGGCAGAGAGCAAGAGAAGTAGCTTGGAATCATTATCTGTTGGTTAAAATCTGCCTGGGGTAAAATTTCAACTCGATTTTATAGCCTTCTATTATGACGCAAAGAAAAATTTACGAGCCTCGCTTGAAAAGAGGGCCAGGGCCTTTTCTCGCTGTTTTAAGAATAGGCGGCAGATGCGGTGACAGCGACCATTGTTCCCGGTAGACACAGGCGACCGGGCAACTTCGGCCCGCGTGCGCCAGGAGTGTCCCCCCCCCCCAGCCCGGCGGGATTTTTTTTTTTTTAACTGTTGTTGTCTGGGGAGCAGGCTGCGCGCACCCTCACCCCTCGCACCCTCACCCGGCGCACACCCTTGCATCCTCATCCACACCCGCAACCCGCCTTCTATTCCTCTCTCTCTCTCTCTCTCTCTCTCTCTCTCTCACACACACACACACACACATACACACACACACACACACACACACACACACTCGGCCGCCCGTAGTAATTTTTCATAAGTGCAAAGCTTCGCTGAACCAAAGGTCACCATCCAAGCCACTAACAACTTCTGGCCGGCGCGCGCGGTTCCAAACCAGGGAAGCAAAGGCAACTATTTGTCAGCGGTTCTGACAGCTAAGTTCATTAAGGATTGAAATCTGATGAAATAAAAGTCGCCCAAATATTTACCTGCGGGCCGCGCTCGGCGCCCGCCGCGGGCCGGGTCTGCGGGCGCGGGGGACCCCCCTCGGCGGGCCGTGTTCTCGGGATCCCTGCACTTTCCAAGTCGGAGAGAGCCCTTTGCGTGGCAGATTAATGACGACTCCGTGTTTCTTAAGGGACGTGCTGAATTAATTATTTCGCCAATCACGTGGTCGCGACTTGTAGAAATCTATTCTTATCATCTTCCTCGCACTTTGAAAATTCTCCGGGTTATGAGCGGCCCTCCCCCGGCTGCCGCCGAGCCACGGCCTCCCTGCACGGCGTGGGGGGTAGGGAGGGCTCCCCAACATGGCGCCGTCTGCCGAGGGTCCGATTTACTGTACTGTACTCAGCGGGCTCGGCTATGGTCTCACTTCCTCCTCATCCCTGCCGGTGATTCAATACACACAACGCTATTGATGTATTGGTGGGCACAGGAGAAGCCATTAACCAGAAGACGGGCAGAGGACAATCATAAAATGTGTCTGAATATTTAAACTTCTGTCTGCTCACTTATAAATACACATGTCCACGCGTCTAGGGCGAGCCCTTCCATATATTAAGGACATATGTCCTATTTTATGCCTTCTACTTATTTCCTGTCTCTAGCAAGACACCCCCTATCTGTTTTGGAACTCCTCTCTTGGCCCCCTCTTCAAAGCCCAGGCCAAGATGTGGGAAAGCCCTAGTGATAAAAATAGTGCATGATACTTTTTATAGTAGAGAGTGTTTATTGTTGTCTGAGGGGCCAGAGGGATGCAGGGAGGAGGTGCTGGTGCTGGCAACCCCAGAGGGGTTCTTAGGCAGCCCCAGAAAAGTGGGAGTGCAAGATGAGAGGCCAAACAGGACAGGTCGGAATGACCACCACCAGCCAGCCTAAGCTGGGCCCAGAACAAACACTCACCCAGCCTCTGGAGACAAGGAAGATTTCTCACAACACACCAGGAAGACTTCCTCTGAAGGGGATCTAAGGACTGATTTGAAGCCCCCTAGTAGCTCAAGCAGTTGTTTCTCTTTCTTTCAGTAAATAGTGCCCTCCACATTGGGGCCTGGATCCAGTATCAGGCTTTCCAATGCTCATAAAGTATAGTTGCCAAACTGGGAGTGGGAGGGAAGTGTAGAATTGCTAGACCTTGCATGGCTCAACTTTCACACCATAGGCACCAAATAACTTGGTGTCAATTGTATTGCAGAAAATAGTAAGATAAATTGTTTCTAATGAATGTTGGCTTTTAGAAAACTTAACAAAGAGTCTCTATCAAGGCACCAAACAGGAAGGAGATTTTACTACACCTTTTATTATTTCAAATATAGATCAATGAATTACATCAAAACTACAGGAAACAATTAATATAAATAATACTTTAATCAGTGGCAGTAAAACACGGTCAATTCTATTTTTAAAAGCATCTTTGTGAGCAGACTCCAAGGGGCTGACTGACAACATCATCTCACAACAAAAGGCTGCCACGGACAAAGTGAGATTGGAGCCTGAGGCACACTGTCCTCAGCAAACACCCCACTCCTCAGTCCCAGTCACCATCCCAAACAGGTTTTAAAACACCCAAACAAACACTTCTGGCTCATATTTGGGGGTAACAAACTGGAAATAAATAACAGCAAATGGACACCAGAGCCTTCCACATCTTGCTTTCTCTAGAGCTGGTTCACAGATGGAGAGTCATTTCCTTCCCTACCCTAGGTGACTGGGGGAGGGTCTACCCCTTCCCTGGTCCACTCTTTTGGGCCCAAATGGGTACTAGGGTTCGAATGGGACTTCAGGATTGGCAATGGCTCTCTAGGCCTTGCAAGGACCATTAGCATTTCAAAAGACAATCCCTCCCAGCAGAGAGGAAAAGCTGAGACTTAAAAACAAAGAAGTTGTTTCTCAGACTAAGTTACTTTCCAAAGTAGTGGGGCTCTGTTTGAGAAGAAGCTGGGGTTTTCTTCAGGAAAGCACACTCTTGGCTCTCCTTTGGGGCAGGAGGAAGGAGGGGTAGAATTTGTTCTGAAGCTGGATGAATCACCAGAACTTCTGAGGAGAGGGCAAAATCGATATAATAATCTCCATAGTAGGTATATAGTTGAATATTATGAAAATATATACTCCCCCACTTCAAGGACATGGTTCAATATATGTTCAGACTTAGCTTTTATGAAAGAATCTTAGCAACTTTCCAATTGGCCCAAGGATAGCGGCTCTTTTCAAATGCAATATCCAAAGGCTGGCTGCATGTTAGAGGGAGGGGGAAAAAGAAGAGAAGAGAAGGGTAGTTACAGTCCAAAAGGTTAAGGGTTTAGAGGTCAGTCCTCCCGGCTGAAATACAGCTAATCGAACAGAAAATTTGCCCTCTGGATGAACCTGATTCTGTAATTTAGCCGAACTTCAGTAAAATACCTTTTCAGCTTCTCAACATGAGGGCGTCAGAAAAAAGACATCTTGACTATGTATGAACTCTTTGCTTTTTGTCATAGAAACAATGATGCAAATAATGCAGGAATATCCATCTTTAATATCCCGACGTGGTGATATTCAAGTATTGCCATGTGCAAGTCTGAGAGCCAGGCTCATCCCAAAGAGGAACAAAGAGCTTTTTCCCCAGGCTCTAATACAAAAGACCAAGGCTTGGAAGATACTTCAGAGAAGCAGAATTTCAGTTTAGGCACTCCAGTTGAATCCTTGCCCTCAGCCCTCAGGAGACACAGAACCAAAGACCAGGCCTTTCCCTCCTCCACTGAAGTCTATTTTAAAAACAACCACTGAACCCTTCTAAAGTATTCTGAAATACTGAAAAAAGTAACAGCATTATTGATCTTATGATTAAAATTTAAGTTTACCCCTCCCCTATTTCTTACTTGGGAGGAGAGACTGCAATCAGGGGGTTCTGTTTGGAGCCCAAGCTTAGAAGTTCAAGCTTTCAAAGACTTGTTTCATTTGAGTATATGAAGTCTATCATTACCTTTGACTCTTATCCTCCCTATCCTTAAGAGCTAATGTTTTAAGAAAATGATATTTGAATTCTTCCCAGACATGGAATAAAAATAAATAAATAAAACCTCTTTCCTGTTGTTTGAGGTTGTTTTAAAGTCACAATCTTCAAGGTAAAGAAGTGGGCCTGAAAACTTCTAGACTTACAAATTCTGCTTCTAATTAATGTCTAAAGAAACAGTTGGGGGGGAGGACACTTTAAGGGAAATCTCTTTAAGATCAACTTTTGTGAACTTCTAGAGTCTATTATTTCCTTTTTAAAACTAAGACTTCCCTACCTTCCCATTTCCCCCCCCCCCCCCACTGCATAGCACCACCCTGGGATTGGCCATACATTGAGTCCTATAAAACCCTGCTATGTGGGGCACTTGGAGCATTTGGAATCCAGTTGGAATAGAAAATTCTGACATTTTCTGATGACCCAGGGCATATAGGTTTTGTTTTCTTTCCCCGAAGGAAAATATTGAACCATTTGTTCCCTTTTCCCCCCTCTCTCTCTTTCTTTCAACCACCCAGAACTGCTTATAAACACAGAGCTGGAGCAAGCACATGTGGAAACCCATTGGAAAACTCAGTTTTTCCTGGGTCCTTGGCTTCCCTCTTGAAGGGTTAAGGGCCTCCTACACATATTTCCAGGGTGGGTGGGTAGGAGGGAGGAGCTGAAAATCCGGAATAGGGCCAGGAGTAAGTTCACAGATTTGTAACTCAGTCCCAGCTGAGCTCTTTCCCACCCTAAGGTTTTGGCACACAGGTGTCAGGTATTTTTTTTGTTATCTATTGCCCCCAAGGAATAAATATTTAAGCAAATATAACCTAAACTAAAAGAACCCGTTCTCACTTCCTTCTTTGATTTATTTCTTTGGGCATGGGCCACTGGGAGCAAAACAATTTTTTAATTTAATCACAGCAGAAATTCTATAGGTCACTCAGAAAGTTCTGAGATTCTCATTCAGATCCCCTGCTAGCACTGAAAGCACCTAGCACTGGGTGCTGGCCTCAACTCATCCCACAGTTGTTAAGCCACACAGCTCTCTGGAGGGGTTGTGTGAAGGAGCACGTCCAGGTTCACACTGGGATAAAGCCTCCAGCCTTCATTTGCAAATTCAAAACCCAACAGCAGAGATTTTCATGAGTTTAATGACTCGCCAAGGTTTTATGTTCTCAGTAGCTCCTGCCATATGATAATATACTTAAAGAAGCCCGCCCACCCTCCCACCCCATCCCTTTAGGGAGGGGGCTACCCTCGGGCAAGATGGTAACCTAGTCCGAGGGCGGTCTGTGTGTCCCAGGTCCACCCCCACAGTACCTTAGAGCCCAGCGAGGTGACAGCAGGCCCCGCCTGCACCCGCAGCTTCGCCTCCACCTGGAGAGCAAGGAGAAAGGGATGGGCCCACGATCGATCCCCACTTCTATAAGGTCGTCAGGTCCGTGTGGTGGTCTTTGGCCATGGGCTGCAAATGCTGGCCAGGGGCAGCTGACGAGGAGCAAGAAGATGAGGAAGAAGAAGACCTGCCCTTGGTGTTGGGCAGTTTGTGGTCTTTTTTCCACTTCATCCTCCGGTTCTGGAACCAGATCTTGATCTGGCGCTCAGACAGACACAGGGTGTGAGCGATTTCAATCCGACGGCGTCTGGTCAGATACCTGTTAAAATGAAATTCCTTTTCCAGTTCTAGGACTTGCTGTCTGGTGTAGGCCGTCCGGGAACGCTTGGGCTCCCCGCCGGTGTAGTTGGGGTTCACTAAGAGACAAAACAGACAGGACAGCCAGATCAGAGCCCGGCCACTAGTTAGGCCCCTGGCTTGCCTCTGCCCTCACTTCCTGGCGCGTCCCGCAGCCCTCGTCCCTCCCCGAGCTCCAAGCTTGCCTGCTTCCTCCCTCCCGCCCTCTCCCTAAGAACATACTCATCCCCCATCCCTTCCACGCACCCACTCCCCAGGCTCACAGATCCTCAGAGGTGTTCCCTTCTCCCTGGCCCACCAAGAGCTCAGTATCTCCAGCATTTTGGAAATGCCCTTCTCCCGGCTCTGCGTTCCCTCTGCTGTGGAAATGGAGTCCTCCCCCACCCCACCCCCATCCCCACCCCCTTTTGCGCCCACAGCCAAGCAGCCAGCCACATGGTCCCGGCCTGCTCCCTCAGCTATAAAAATTTATGGAGAGAGTAATTGCGGCGCCCAAGGAAGCTTCACAAGCCCCCACCCACTCGCACCCCCTCCGGGGGGCCCAAGCCAAAAGATGCGAGTAGGGGTGGGGGGGAGGGCTGAAAGGTCGCTACACCGGCTCCTTACCCGAATTCACGTGCACCTTCTTCATCCAGGGGTAGACCACAGCAGGCTGCTTGAGTGCTGTCCCCGGGGGCGGCTGCTTGGGGCCGGTGGGCTGGCTGCAGGCCCGGGCGCCAGGCAGGGGCGCAGGCGGGGGCGCTGGGCACGGCTCTCCCGGGGCCCCGTAGTGACTTCCTGGGCCACTTGGCTCCTGTCCGTGACCCCGCGCTGGCAGCGCTGAGCCAGGCCCTGGCCCGCCGCCTCCGAAGGGTTGCTCACCGAAGTCGGGCCGTGGGTAGAGCCCCGAGGGCTGGAAGTCGGCTCCCTGTGTGCCGCTGCCGTAGTAATCGGCTGCCTGTTCGCCTAGGTAGCCACCCTGCAAATATTCCTCGCACGGAGGAAACTTGGGGTCCACGTACTTAGAGTTCACCATATACGAACTCATGGCCATTAATTTCAGAAGGTAGAAAATACTAATTTTTCTCGTGTTGTCTTTTTTTCTCCTTCCATTGGGCCCTCCTACTTGCTGTCAACTGAATAAAGTTGGGCGGCCATGTGACCAGGCCAGCCAATAGGAAGGGAGCGAGTTTATCACCGGGTCTGTGAGCATCTCATAATTTTCACAAATTTAACTAAATAACATACGTGTAATCAAGTGACTTGCCATGCCACATTTGAGAGTCCCTGACAGATGTTAATGTAGTTCCGAGTCTATCCCCAGCACCCCTAGTCTCAGCAGATAATCTCAGCTTTTGTCTTCCACTGACTTTGCTAACCTCCTATGCTCTCCTCACTCAACGTCGCCTGAAGCAGCCCCCAAAGTGGGTACAGTTCAAAGAAGAGTGAATTCTCCTATTGGGGTGCAAAATAAGGAAAAATGAGTGCGGGCAAAGTGGCCTCTGAGTTGGATAGAGAGTGCTCTAGGCACTTAGCCGGCACAGGGGCCAGCTGGCGGGAGTCCTGGACTCTGACATACAAAGACCTGTCCTGGCTTTGTCTTCTTCAGGGTCACCCAAAAGTTACCAGAATCCGGCGGACCTGAATTGAGTTAGGCAATGAGTAACCACTAAGGTTTTCTGCCAATGTCCAGGCTGGGGTGTTTCTAGTTGAAGTTGGGTCTTGCTGATATGGCAGGAGGCCCTCACTGTCCTGGGTCTGGTAGCTGTGCTCTGGGTCAGGTTGGATGGTGGTGAGGGGACCTTAACCTTGCCTAAATGTACCCCAAAGGCCTCCAATGACTTTCTTACCAGAGTGTCTTCTTCCCACACCAGGGTTTTAAAACCAGGTGAGCCCCATTTGGGTACTTTGCATCTCATGCTCCAGAGGGGAAAGCTGCTCCTGGAGCTTCATGGATTTTCACCTCACTTCCCAGTACCCTAAACCCTGGCCCTTTGGTCTTACACTCAGACAACCACTGAAGCACCTCCTGGAACCTCTATTGCAAGTCGGTCATCCTGGAGTCCAAGGTAATGAAAAAGAAAGGTGGCTGTCTGGCTCAGCTGCCACTACTCTCGGCGCCTCAGTCTCTGGCTATGTCGGAGACATGAAGTTTTTGCATCGACCATATATTCCCCTAGAATCGAATCTGTGACTATGTGGGTACCACACAAATTCGGTTCTACAGGGTATATATAGACAACGTTACAACCTCGGGTCCTACCCAGAACAGACACTCAGGCAGCTGCCAGCCCAGATCTCTTCAGCTCAGCCACCAGGAACTCCCCAAGCCCGGCTTTCAGAGACAGTTCAGGTAGGCTCGGTGACGATTCACAGCAACTGTCCCCTTATTCTCTTGCCAGGATCAGGGCTACGGAGCAGCTGAGCAACCAGGACCTTCTTCTTTTAAAAAGAAAAGAAAAGAAGGTGGAAATTTTTTTCACCCCAGAGATGGCGGTTTTATTTCCCCCTTTCAGAATCCAAATCTCCCACCCCCTTATCAAGTGGTATTTCCCCAAAAGAAGCAAAGGCCCTCAACGGTAGGGAGTTTTGAAAAAGGCAGAAAAGAATATTCTTCACCAATTCCTGAGCCAGGTCGGTGGCCACAGCTAATTCTCCCAGAATGCAAGCATTTACCTTTCTGGGCCCTCAGCCCCGCTGGACTTTCGGATCCCGCTGCTGCCGCTGCTACTGATGTTGCAGACCCCGAGGCAGGCGCTGTTTGCGGCCACCGAGCCGCCCTGGGCTGAGATCGTCGCGCTAATGGTGAAGGGCAGGGCGAGGGGTCATTCGAAATCATTTACAAACATATCACAAAGTTTCATTATTTTTGCTTTGCCGACAGCAGCACAGAAGAGTACAAAAGTTCACGAATTTCACCGCCCCAGCGCCTCCGCTGTCCCGGGCTTGCCCCTCAATTCAGGGCATCAAGAGCCCAGATGCACTCTGGGGCTGGACTGATTTCAGGGGCAAAGAGATGCCCTGGCCTGGCCTGATAACAGGCTGAAGATGTCAACATTTCTAAGAATTGTTTTGATTCCTTCTCCTATAATTAAAAAAAAAAAATCACTCTCAAGCTCACGCCTTAGTTTGATGGGGTGGGGCAGGGAGACTCCCTTCACCCAAATTGGCAAAACTGGGTGCTCACTTTTACTCTGTACTTTGGTTTTCCACTCCCCTTCCCTTCTTTGACTTGCAGTATTTTGACTATTTTGAAGAGATTCCCCAGGTGCCAATTGTAAAAGGGTTAAAATCTGGTTGTTTAAAGCTCCCCCCACCACCACCTAGTTTCCGCTAATGCCAATCCCTTTTGCACAGCTTTCCTGGGGACACTGGGCCTACCTAGGCTTTATCCAGACAAATTGGAGAAGCCTGATGGGTTGAGTGGGGACCAAGATGAGTATACACATTTTCATATTTGTTAGACATTGTGACCTGCATTTCACCTTATTGCTCGACTTGTTCAGACAGGTCAAAGCCAACAAGTTATTGATGAACAAAAGCGTTAAATATTCACCTCCCGCTCAACTGCCCATACAAATGCTTTTGATCTCTCCGGCTTTTTGTGCTGAATGCAGCTATAAGGCGCCAGATTTGGGTTTGCAAACAAGCAGCCTTGGTAGAGATAAGCAACCACCTCCAAGGGTGTCAGGAGGGGGGGTTACCAGGGGGAAGTCTGAGGATTCCAAGATTTTTATGATGGAGCCTAGAGCCAGGTTCACTTTATGCAGGCCTGGTTCATAGAGGAGACTAAAAGCTGGGGGATCTCAGCTTCACCATGGGCCCAGCAAAGAAATCTGGCCTTGAGCACAGTCCCAGCTTCTCTGATTCTGAAAGGAAGATATCTCACAGGAAAGGAAGGATGCCTGGTCCCTGTGGCCCTTGCCAAACAACTCTTCCATTAAAATAAAACCACTTGGAGTTTTCAGTGAGTGACAAGCCCCTGCTATTTCCTTAACTCTCCTCTATTACCACCTGTGGCCCTTGCCAAACAACTCTTCCATTAAAATAAAACCACTTGGAGTTTTCAGTGAGTGACAAGCCCCTGCTATTTCCTTAACTCTCCTCTATTACCACCATCCTAAAGAGAGAGTCCTCCTGAAGGTATCACCAGCACTCTCAGATTCAAACTTCAGAGCCAAAGAACTGGAGTCCCTACCTCTGACCCCACCAGATTTCCTTGGACCCTGGAGCAGAAATTCTTCAACTGCAGCTAAGGAGAAGCAGAGGTGAAAGAGAAAGCAAATGTTCTTCTTGTTCAGCTGTTACCCAAACCTAGAACTCACCCCGGTGGAACTGGGAACCAGAAAGACAGGAGAGGAATGTCCACATACAGTACAGCCCTTCTTGGAAGCAGGCCAATTCAACACACCCAGGGTCATCAAGGGTTGCATATTTGTTTGTTTGTAATAAATCCACTTTAAAGTTAAAACAGAGAGAGAGAGAGAGAGAGAGAGAGAGAGAGAGGAGTTAGACTGGGCAGGCTTAATTTAGAATGAACTGCTGAAGGGGGACCCTGGTGCCTTGGTGTTAACTGTGTCAATTCTAGCAGTTGAGGTTGCTCGCTGTACTTCATTGAGAGGGTGGACTGCAAATTAGCGCCAAGTCCGCTGCACCTGTGTGAACCTGAGAAGCCTAGGAAAGGCCTGGAAGGTCCAGAGAGGTTTGGGAAGACCAGGGTGAGCCCAGCGCATTGCACACTTGGGCAGGTGACTGTTAACTAGGTCCCAGAAATGCTTTCTAAAGGCTCAGCCTAGAGTCCCCCCTTCCCTCAGCGAGCTCTCCAGGCCATTTCTAGCCTGGGGAGGCAGCACAGCTCCACCACCTCCCATCCTGGCTGGTGAGGACCTTAGACTACCTCTGCCCTTAGCACTGCTCTTTACTCAGAGAAAACAGGAAGGTACTTACTTAAAGTGGCTCTCCCTGGTTCCCCCTTGTGCTCCAGAACCTGTTGCAATGAAAACGGGGTCACTCAAATTCCACAGGATAATAAAGCAGAAATAGAGGGCATAGAGAAAAATGACAAGGCCCAGACATTAATACCTAGAACTCCTAGCCTTGGGTGACCGTCTTCGGGAACTGCTCAAAGTTCTCTGCGAACAGCATCCTCTAAGGCACAGCCTGGAAGTATAAGAGTCTGTCCTGGTCACCTCCCCCACTTCAGGCACCCTCGGGCAAAACCCTACTGGTTATAAGACCTGACTAAGACTGCCTGAGGCAGGGTTTCCCCAGTGGGGAACTGGGGAGTCGAGAAAATGGGACTTTGTATATCTCTTTCTAGAAGCTGCAGGCGAGTGGGTGCAGGTCCACATCTGACCCGACCCCAATTCCCCGTCTGCTGTCTCTGGGAACAGTTCAGCCCTCCTTTTCCAGCTTCAGGCTGGTTTCGAATTCCTCAGTTCCAAACAGTGCCCCATCCCATCCTCCAAACTTGCCTTCTCGTTAAAGAAGGGACAGACTTGACTGAGACATGCTTTCCTATGTCTCCAGTTCAAAACAGAGCCATTTCCTTCCAAAGGGAATCGAGGACCCAAGGGATGACTAGAAAGGAAAATCGGTGTGGCTAAGAGTAACCGATCTAGACCTTAAAGGAATGATCTAGACCAGGATCTCATTCTAACGGGTTTGACACTAATTTTCTAACTTTGCTGCAGGAGGAGCTACAAACCCATCCTACAGAGCAGTCATTCCCCGAGGCATTGATGTCCATCTTTAAGTTTTTAGCTCTCCAGGAACAGCAATCTGCTCTGAGATATCTCAGAATTAACTGTCTGCACACTTATTCCCTCTTCCTTCCCACCCCTAACTATGATTGTTTTGTTCTACTTTCTAAGCAGTTGACCTACTATAGGGAGAAGAGTGTATGTAAGTCCTGCTTTTGGGGTAGAAGCCCTCAGTTCCTAACTTCCCATGTATATAAAGGAGAGGGGAAATCCAAGATCCCCATTTTATTTATTAACTTAGCTTTAGACTAAAATTAGAAATAACTTCGATAGGCTTTCCGCAGGCAGAGAAAGCCAGGCTCAGAAACCGACCCCCCCCCAACCCAGAGTTATTGTGAAAAAAGTGCTAAGTGACTTACTGTTTTTCTTTTCTAGTGTGTAGGGTAGCTGAGAGCAGAGCTGTCTCCTTCAGAGCCCGGGCGCTGGCTGGAGCCTCTCACTTCCCTATCGCTGCTCCAGGAACGAAGCATCTGCACTTGTATGCTCTTAACCTAATTTATGGTGGGAATTATATTTTGGCTTGTCAACTCTCAAGCCATAAAACAAAGTTTATTGGAATCACGTGCTCGTAAATAGCCACTCAGGTCCCCTCTCTGCAGAACCATAAATAACCTTTGGCTTTAAACTTTTATTCACTAAATAAAGGTTCACTGCAACTGTTCTCTGGGATTTAAATAGTCCCAAATATACAGAATGCAAGAGAGGTCATAGTCATATCAATACCCCAGGCTTTTCAACTTGCATCTTTTCAGAGAAGGCCGTTTAAATTGGGGGATAGTGCTATTTGGAAAAGGCTGGTTGGTGGGCATGCCTTATGATTCTTTGGCTGCATTCGCTGTGAGTACCATCAACTCCTTTATTCCAATCATTTTCTAGCATTAGATGTGGTAAATAGGAAAGCCAAAGGCTACTCCTTATGTGTTTATCACAAAAGTTGAAAATTATTTGAGATTTTGCTCAAGTTTCAGTAGAGAAAGTGACTAACTAGGGCGAGGCTGGGTGGCCTTGGTTGGGGGGGGGTAGGCAGCTGGGATTAACACTTAGTTTCCTCTGTATTGTTGTGAATGGGTCTTGGTGAAAGTTGAAGACAGCCACATGCCTAGAGGTTTTTATAATTTGCTTAGATCTGAAAGAGAAGCCTTTGCAAGTGACCAAACTGCTTAAAACAGCAAGACTTGGGTTTGGTGAAGTGAGAAAGTGCAGAATAGCCCCCATCGGACTCTGGCAAGTCAGGCTCTAAAGGAGGTTATAAAACAATAAAATAGCCCTGGTGTGAAGGGCCCAGGGTGTGAGGAAGCACAGGAGGCCCTTAAAGAACCTGAGCCCAGGAAGTCAGATGTGCACAATCCCACTGTGTGCCCAAATTACTCAGTACAGGGCTCAAGGGTCCCTGAAGGCCACATCTTAGTGAGCTCTTTAGCAGATCCTCCCCACTGCTGTCCCTATCACAGGGAAAGACTGAGAAAGAAGGAAATGTAAGACTATCTCTGTCCTACTCAGCAATCCCGGAAAAGGGCTGGGCATGCCACAGGAGAATGTGGCCACCTCTGCTGGGGGTGGGGGTGGGATAAGAGAGACAGGAATGGGGAAATTTTCCCCAGCTCCCAGTAAGAGGCACAAATAAAAAAGAAAACTGGGCCCCAGCAACCTTCAATGGCCCTCCAGAGGTGCCACAAACCATGTGAAAATGTGATTATTTTTCTGCTCTGGTAAAATAATGGGTGAGCTGCATAGATTTATTGAGCACACACACATATATGATTTATAAATCAAATGCAATTACAACAGTTCCTATCAGAAAGTTCCACAGTCCAGAAAGAAGATTCTTTGTATACAGATCTTTGCTTGCTAATTCCCAGCCATTATATGTGCATTTCCAACCCACTTCCTGATTTGACCCTCAGTAGCCAGAGAATAGGGGGTTGTTAGTTCAGACACCAGGACATCCCTTTCTTCTTCTTTAAAAAATCCCATCAGCCATGTGTGGAGACTTTGTGTTTTGCTTATTTGGTTGGTTGATTTGGCTTGATTTTTTTTTTTTTTTTTTAAAAACTGATGGCACATTCTTAGAGTAATGGGTAGAGATGACCCTTCAAAAACTGGGTTTTGGCAGCACCAGAAGAGCAGCTTTGAAATGAATCCTTGTTAATCATGGAGAAGAGATAATTAACACTGGGGCTTTGATTTTTAGGTTAAAATTAATTAAAGGGTAGACGACTTTCCGAGTCATTATGCTGACCCTTTTATAAGGAAGGAGGTGAGATGAGGTGAAAATAACTCTTGAGAAATGATATATGCACAAACAATGCCTAGTATCTAGTTGAGGATCAGTCTAGACTCACCCCCACCCCGCCACCCCATGGATGAAAGGTTATAAAGGACGATGTCTGAGATATGCTTGCAAACGTCACTGTGGGTTACACATGAAGACACAGCCTCCTCTGAATATTTGAGAGAGTAACAGGAAAAGAGCCATATGTAGAAAATGGAGGGAAGGAAGAAATACATTGAAACAGACGTCTTTGTTTTCTGATCTGAGAGCCCCAAGGCAAAATGAGTAAGGAGCAAGTGTGTGTCTTGCTCCACTCATCCTTTGTTATTCACCCCACCTCCAGTGTCCTAGGATTTGTGAATGAAAGAAAGAGTTGGGATCAGGCTGAGGGAAAGTGAGCATCAGCTGGGAAAGCAGAAGCTGTGTACCAGCCTGCTTCAGGTTCCAAGGGCTTCTCCACCCCGCCCCCTGTAATTGAAGGCCCTAGCAGGGACTTGGGAATGCCAGGCAAATGCCCAAACTCTGTCTCCCAAGGACTTTCAATGTTTTGGTAGTGGTAATCAAACAGGAAGGGGGAGGGCAAAGAGGGAGGCCCTCCTTTAAGATCTGTAAGGAAGCTAGGCAGTGGCTGGTGGCACTTGCCTTTAATCCCAGCACTTGGGAGGCAGAATGAGTCAGATTTCCAAGTTTGAGGCCAGCCTAATCTATAAAGTGAGCTCCAGGACCGCCAGGGCTACTCAGAGAAGCCCTGTCTCGAAGAAAAAAAAAAAGAAAGAAAGAAAGAAGAAGGAGAAGGAGAAGGAGGAGGAGGAGGAGGAGAAGGAGAAGGAGAAGGAGAAGGAGAAGGAGAAGGAGGAGAAGAAGAAGAAGAAGAAGAAGAAGAAGAAGAAGAAGAAGAAGAAGAAGAAGAAGAAGAAGAAGAAGAAGAAGAAGACAAACAAATCCAAAACTGTAAGGAATTAGTTTCCCAGTAAACAAGGACCATGGGTATTTTCTCATTTAGCTAGAAAGAGCCTATTCTGAAATTTATGCCTGGTGGGCTTCCCTGCCTGTAAGACTTCTCCAACCCAGATGTCAGAGCTGCTCCCAGGAAGGTGAAAGAGAAGGGGTTCCAGAAAACAGCACCAGATGTTTCCAGTATACTGCAGGTCAACCCTTCAGCACAACCTACAGAAAACCAGGCTAATGATGTCTCATAAGAGAAGATGTTGTGTTTTCAAGCTAAACCTTTGCACAACAAGTAGGGACAGATGGGATGAGACTTTGGTTGAATTCCCTGGCCAAAGACACACGGTACAAGGAGTCTGCCTAGGACTTGTGTTTAAGGACATAGGCTAGAGTTATAGCCAGAGAAGAACTGAGCAGGGATTCCTAAGCATGTGAGAAATGTGATCCTCTCCTGGCACTATGCTACTGAAGTTCTGCTCTTCTCCACAATGGAGCTACTTAACTACCTTAGAGTCCTCCATAAGGAAGATACATTCCTAAAGGAAAAGGCCCTCTGCAGGAGATAAGAACCTCTCATTCTAGAAAAGAGCCTGAGGCAGGATGTCTGACTTGGGGTCAGAGGCTAGAGAAGGCGCCAGTGGCTCCAAGAAGATCATTTAAGTGCTAGAGAGAACTAGCTAGATGGCATGGGAAATGGATTGATAGTAGTGTTGCTCCCTTAGACTGTGGACAGAACTTTACAGGGCACAATTGGGGGCAATAATTTCAGAGATAATCTGACTCAGACTCTTGGTGTAGTCCAGAGAAGTAGCTTGAAAAACTGTGGCAGAAAAGAAATCCATAGGCAAGAGTCATGGAAGCCAGAGCTGAAAAGGTGGGAGCCTGGTCTCAGGGTGTGTGCACATATGTGTGGGTTATGGCCTGAAGTGCTGTTTATGAAATTCTTAATAAAAGAGAAGAATTTCAGCCAGGCACAGTGGGCACATACCTGTTATAAGTCCCAGCCTTTGGGAGGATAAGGCAGAGTAACTGAAAGTTTGTGACAAGTTTGAGATTCATCACAGGATCCTGTCTCCAAAACTTTTTTGTTTGTTTCAAAGAAATGGAAAAGCCTTTGAAAATTAGAAGGATAAGTTCTTCCTAAAACACACCTTGCCATTACTCTGGCCCAAACTGAATCTCAGGTTTAGTCATAGCCCTAATGCCTGTGTCACAGGGTGCAGGTAGAGTAAGTGAAGGAGGGGGCCTGGCTTTTTGCTTTCCTATTCAATCTCATTCACATTCCAGGAGACTAGGATGCCCCAGAGCTACAGAAGAATGACTATCTGGGTAGGTATGACTGCCAAGAGGATAGGATGGTGTGGAAGGGTCTGAAGGAGCTAGTTCTGAGCTCAGGAGAGACTGCAAGCCCTCTTGAGCAGTTCAAAATGTGTCCATGGGAGTGTGAGGCTACCAACCAAGGTGCCAAGAGCTCTTTCTTCCTGGGTGGAGCCTTAATGTGTGTAGGTACTAGACAATGAGACCCCAGAGGTCACTGCTGATGAGACCTGACCAAAATTTATTTTACCTTTTGTTTTGCTTTGTTGAGATAAGGAAGGACCTGCTAAGCAGCCTAGGCTGGGCTTGAACTCTATATGAAGCTCAAACTGGCCCAAATGTTGATCATTCTGCCTCAGTTTCCTTAGTGCTTGGACTATGGGCGTCTTCTTCTATTCTCCATAGAATTCAAGGCTTCAGTGAGTAAACCATTTGCCTCTTTTGGCTGTAAAAGCCAAGGTCTTACTTATGAGGGCCAACAATAATAATAATATTGTTATTATTATTATTTAAGTGTTAAAATTTTGTGTGCCAAAGCACCATTTTAAGCACTTAGCTAACATATAGTTAATGTTTCTAGTACTGTGCTCAATGCAATACTAAAGTGAAAGTAAAAAGTCAAGACAGGTGTGGCAGGCTCACACCTGTAATCATGGCACTCAGGAGACTGAAGCAGGAGGATTGCCTTAAGTCTGGTAACATAATGAGGTTCCATATACTTTTTAAAAAAAGTAAAATCTTCATAGACTGCTTGATGAAACTCTTATTATTTCTACTCACAGAGGAGGAAACAGGCTTAGAGGTTTTGTCCTGCTCTCCTAAAGTCACACAGCAAGTATATGGTAGAGAACTGAACTTAGCTTAGAGCCCGCTCTCTTTGAGCTCTCCAAGTCCAAAGTGAGGAATGCACAGATCCCGAAATTTCATCCACAAAAATGGAAGAAATGACTCACATATAGTGTAGTAACTTTAAAAAAAATCAAAACAGACAGTCATGATTGTAGCATATACAGTGTAGACGTAGGGAAGGAACTCAGGAGAATAAAGAGCTAAGCAAGA